GTCCATCTTTGACAATAGAACCATTTATTGACAAAGATCCAATAGCTTTGGACCACGTGACGTTTGGTTTTGGGTATCCAGTCACGTGACACGTGGGTAGACGAATGTCATCACCAATCTTACTGTAGATTGGTCTATTGTTCAAAGTTACCCGTGGAGGAAGTTTCAACTGCAGTTTCGCTGTTTTTTGTGTGCAAGGACCACGATCTCCTCTTGGTCCCTTTGGTCCAGGCATTCCTCTGGGACCTGGAATCCCGATCTTCCCAGGAAAACCACGTGGTCCTTGTTTTCCTCGACGTCCAGTTTTACCCATGCTTCCTGTCGGTCCTCTCGGACCAGGTTTTCCTTGTGGACCGGGAGGTCCTGGAACGGGAATCCAGTATTTGCCAAATTGTAGATTGGCTGCTGCTTTTCCAAAAACTTGATGGATTTTCTTTGATAATAAATCATCATTAATGGTGTTGTTGACTACAGTTGTAACATCTCTTACTTTTCTTGTGAAAGCTTCTTTCGTTTGCTTTGCTTCTTGTTTCCCAAATCTTCGCTCTGAATGATGATCTCTGTCGAAGTGATGACCATCGTTCATGTCGTGTTTTGAAGTCATCTTGTCTGGAAGCTTGATGTCTTTTGAATACAGCTCGTTTAGCATCAATTCTGTTCTTAAAAACACACCACAGCACAACAACAAACYGACGACCGATAGAGTRATGGCAATYTTGGACACCAAGCAGGAATGACTGATTTTATCTGCCATATTTCAGTAAATAACACAGCATCGAAGCAAACAGGAAGACTGACGCAGTAAAAATGACCCGAAATCTAATACTCTCACAATGAATCGGTCTTCATTCCTGTCTCAACATGTTGTGATATTTTATACGAGACTTGGTGAACTTATGATATCAATCTTCTACGTCATCCTGATTATGGATTCATCAGAGTCTCAAAGCATATTGTACTCACTGTCTCAGTGGACAACCGGCATTCAATGCGGTCGTGTTTATATTTTTTGTGGATGGAAAATGTGGGGAATTCAAATATCCATTGGTAATTCCGTTTCTCTTGGTCGGTTTGACCATCGAGTCTTTATTCATTAGCAGAGCATAAAGGGTTAATAATGGATATCTTTTTGGTTATATTACGGTGTATTGTTACTATGTACATTTAATAATTTCATGCAAACCGCAGTATACCTACATACGGTATGGAGGAAGTTTAAAACAATCATTTTGGGATTGAAAAAATAGATTAGGGTTAAATGGAATATATTTTTGTTTTGGAAAAAAATAATAATAAATTCTGTCTTTTTCTATGTAAAAAGTAATCTAAAGTAACCATCGTAAGTTAAAACATGTGATAAATTGCTATAAACTAACCTAACCCTAACCCTATTTTAGCCTTATTAGAACAGCTAGAACTACAATTGCTAAAATCAAGTCAAATTCTAAAAAAATGATAGTGATTCCGAAAATTGTAAGGTTGAAATTTCTGTTGCTTGCAATCTATGATGATAATAATGATGACGATGAAAATAGTCCACACGAAGGTCAAGGAGTTCATTGCCAAAGATATGTTTAATACTAAAATCGATACTAAAAGAAATATTTGTAATAGTCAAGATGTCACGAAATTTGTAAACAAGGTTTTTAAAATACATGACATATTCAGAATACATTTCAGATGGGTAAAACTTTATTCATTATCGACTATCATAAGTAGGATTAATTAAGCAACTTCTCGACCTCAATAGATCATAATTTCACCAGTTCTAGCGCCCTTGCCGAAAGCCCCTAAGAATTTATGTGGCGCTTGATAAAACATAAAATATCAGTACTCAGGGACTACGGAGCACATTATGAGGTCGGATAGCATTTGAAAAATTAGCAGATTTCATCAAAAAACGTTTATGTATTTCAAAATCTGTTTTCTGAGCAATATATTGGGGGAGCTATAGCCCCCTTCCACCGCCTGTTTTATAAGATAAGAAGATCAGATGACAATATAATACATGGAATCAAAAGAAATTTTGCAGATTTGTTGTACTCGATAATATTACATGCAGTAAAGCACTGAGAAAATTACATTATTTCCAGGGAGG